TGAAAACCACATAAACTACCATACAGAGAGAGCCACTGCTAGCATTTCAGTATCTATATCTCCAGAATTTTAAATGTATATACATACTTAATATCCACTTTTATTAAAATGGATCCTAGTGTATGTACCTAAAGTTTTATAATCTACTTTTTAAGCTAAATAATACATCATATACATCTCCCCAGGCTAGTGAACACACATATCTTTAGTATATATTAGTGAATACCTTTGTGTGCCCACCCAGACTACAAATGACCCCCTTATCTGTCCCCTCACCCTCCAAAATAAACTCAGGCATTCCTATTTGTACTTTTCAACCCTGTCCTCCAGGCCACAGATGATTGAGTCGAATTCCATCTGAGCAATCAGATTTTCTTTGCCAGGAATTTGGAAATGGGACTGGTTTCTTAAAAAGAAACGTAAAATCAGGATGCACAGAGTAACCATCTGCTTTCCACATGGTGGAGAAACAGAGAAAGCCTGCACAGAGTGCAAAACGTAGATAAATGGAGAAGTTTCTTGCGACCCACAAAGCTTTCCAGCATCTAGTTCTAAGTCCCCCAAAACCCATAAGCTCTCTTGCCCTACGTACTGTGAGATACTCCTGTATACTTCAAATACAGCCACCCCCCCTTAATTGTTTAAGTTAACCAGAGTAGAGTTCTAGTTCTAACTACAAGCCTCAGTGACCAAGTTTAAATATGATTTCTTAATACGTCCCAAGGATTGCAAAATCTTCATGTGCATGCATTTTTGACTTCGTAAATTTTTTCTTATCATTTGATACAAGCAAGTTATTTTCTCCTCAAACTTGAGTCTCTTGCTCCTTAAACATGGGGAATTTTGAATGGTTGTCTGATCTGTATTTTACTCTTCATTCTCTCATTCATAAAGAAAATATTTACATGGGCAGGCATGGTAACTGTGCTATGGGGACAGAATGGTGAACAAGCTAGTCAGGGTGGTTGTATGCACAGAACTTACAATCTACTGAGAAAATTAGTTCATTATCAAGCAAGCAAATAGCTAGATAATCTCAGTTGTGTTAAGTGGCACGAATGGAATACAAAGAGTTGATCTGATAGAGAGTGGTTATGTATATACATGTGTGAGGCCTCCCTGAGGATATGAAATTGGAGCTGAGAGATAAAGGAAACATGCATGAGGGAGACTGGGAGGAAAAAGCACTCTA